GGTGTGGGTGTGGGATGTGGGTGTGGGTGTGGGTGTGGATGTGGGTGGGTGTGGATGTGGGTGTGGGTGTGGGTGGGTGTGGGTGCACTCTAAAAAATTTCCGTCTCCTAGGAAACTAAAATCAGTTCGGAAACCCTTTCGGAAACCTTTTTTGGTTTCCGAAAGGGTTTCCGATCACCGAAATCGTTTTCGAAAATACCTTATTGGTTTCCGAGGTTTCGGAAACCTTTTGGTTTTCGAGAGTACCGAATTCGATGCGCGTAGGGTATTCTAGAATACCTTTTCATCATTGGCGCAAACCAAATTAGTATTTTCGGAAACCTGTTGCGTATTTTAGGAAACCAATTCTGTCCTACAAGTTGTTTGGGTATCTAAAGAGGTATCCGAGAATACCTTATCGGTTTCCGAATCACTATCTCGGAAACCTCAAGAGTTTCCGAAAGCTCGGAAACCCTAACTCGTACCCGAGAATACCTTTTTGGTTTCCGAATCACTTTCTCGAAAACAAAAAGAGTTTTTGAACTACTTTCTCGGAAACCTAAAGAGATTTCGAAAGCTCGAAAACCCTAAGTGGTACCCGAGAATATCCTTTCGGTTTCCGTATCACTTTCTCGGAAACCAAAAGCGTTTTCGAATGGCTTTCTCGGAATCCTAAACGGTTTCTGAAATTTCTGAAATTCGAAAGGTATAGTGAAAAACAGAAATCAGCTTTCCAACTTCACTTAACTACTGCACACTTTCTAGGCTTGGAAACTTTCACAATGAGTCTCTAAAGCGTTTTAGAGCACAACAATTTTTCCAATGCAGAAAGTTCGCGTTTCAAATTCATGTTTGGGTCATGGTTCTGTTCTTCATTTCTGGAATTCTTAGAGAATTGAAAGCACTTAGAGCTTTCATGCAACATGTTTGATTATATATGTGCAGTTCATAGCTTTCAATAAATATAAACTTAAATCTAATTTTTTTTCTTTATTTAGGTCTATATGAATGTCCATTACTAATTCTGGTAAGTCAACTGATTTATATAAACTTAAAACTAATTTATTTTTGTTTATTTAGGTGTATATGAATATCCATTAAAATGTCGGGTAAGTCAATTGATTTATATAAACTTAAATCTAATTTATTTTTCTTTATTTAGGTCAGGGCTGCCAACCGTACCCATTTTGGGGTACAATACCCCATTTCGACATTTTGTATCCCACAATGGAGGTGTTTGTATTGTAACCGAGCTAGACTGGATATTTTGGTGTCAAATGAAAGCTCTCACCGCCAAACTAACATGATTAAAATATTAGCGGCTGTTGGCTTGTCTAGAGGAAGATATTCAATTTTTACTGCATTTGCAATATATGTAGGATGTCCACAATTGAAAATTTCAGTAGAAT